GCTGGGCCCTGGCTGGGGCTGACCTGGGGGACGGCTGGGCCCTGGCTGGGGCTGACCTGGGGGACGGCTGGGCTGGCTGACCTTGTTGTGCCAGGTTTCGGGTCTCCCGAAGCCCAGCAAGGAGCCCATTCCGACGCGAAGCACGCGAGGGTCTTTACTGCAAGCTCGCGCCTGGGCTCCGACATGCAGCAACGCAGCAGCCGAGGTTGAGAGCCCCGAGCTCAGGGAACGCAGGGTGTTTACTCAGAAGAGGGGAGTTTCAGGCCGGCAGAGGGGAGTTTTGCTCAGCAGTGCATTGATTGGTGGACACTGAGCAAAGTTATCTTGTCTTAACCCGGTTGCCCTATGCCTGTAAGATGTGGCCTCCGCTACCTGAGGACATCTGGCGTTTCCCTGGTATGTGCTGGTCACTTGCCCACTTGCTAATCGGCTGTTGCTATGGGATGAGCAAGATTAGGACATTTACAGTTAAACTCGGCCTTGGCGCCTTGTTGATCCCCGAAACGTAGGCCTGGCTGGTTCAGAAGCATCCAGAAGCCTGTCCTGGCCTCAGTTTGGCCTTTCAACCTGGATCCCCGTCACCTGGCGTCACCTGGCGGCTGAGGCTCCGGTGACACAAAAAAAGCCCCCAACCCGCCTCCCCCCTGGTTTGCAGCTTTTCTGCGGGAGCGACTCACGCTCCGAGGCGGTGGTGAAGTGGGGTGCTCACTGAGAGAGTGTCCGAAGCTCTGCTGCCGGGGCTGGGACATCTCTGGCTGGAGGCTTGTGTTTCCTGCCAAGGGGGGCACAGAGCTAGGCAGCAGTCTGGGGGCTCTGGGGAGCCCAGGGTCCTCACAATCCCTGCTAAGCGGAGGAGGTTGGGGCAGAAGGTCCGGCTGGGCGCAGGGCGGGAAAGGCAGGTGGAGAGAGGCGGGCGGCTGAGCAGGGCGAGTGAGGGCGAGCCCCTCGCAGGAGTGGGGAGACCCCGACTCCCTTCCCACACGGCCTGGGGAAGTCTGGGGGGTGCTGGGGTGGGGAGGCAGGAGAGCGGGGTCTTACAGCAGGGCCCAGGCGCCCCAGCACCCAGGCTCCCCAGGAGCCGACACTGGCTTCTTAGAGTTCCGTGGTTGGGTCTAAGTGGTTTTGCTGAAGCAGCGTCGAGGGCGTCGCCCACTCTGGCGCTTGCCCAGGCGGCGTCAGTGTCGCATCAGGTCACCTGTTTGCTCTGCAGCAGAGCAGCCGGCCCAGGGGCCTTCCCTGCCCTGACACTCTGGGGTGGACACCCGCCTGGCCTAGGGCTGGCCCCCCCCAGCCGCCCCAGCCCGCAGCTGCTCTGAGAGCCCGGGCAGCGCTGATTCTGAGCCTTCTCCCCTGCCAGCCTGATGTTCCTTCACCGCCAGCGGTTTCAGGGGGCAAAACTCCACAGGGGACCGGCCTCCACAGGGCGGGGCAGGGCCTTCACCCTGTGAAGGGC